GTGGGGCAGGTCCTGAAGGGGTGGACAGGTCCTGAAGGGGGTGGGGCAGGTCCTGAAGGGGTGGGGCAGGTCCTAAGGTGGGGCAGGTCCTGAAAGGGAGGGACAGGTCCTGAAGGGGGTGGGCAGGTCCTGAAGGGGTGGGGCAGGTCCTGAAGGGAGTGGGACAGGTCCTAGAGGGGTGGGGCAGTCCTGAAGGGGTGGACAGGTCCTGAAGGGGGTGGGGCAGGTCCTGAAGGGGGTGGGGCAGGTCCTGAAGGGGAGTGGACAGGTCCTGAAGGGGTGGGCAGGTCCTGAAGGGGGGGGGGGCACATCGGGGGTAGGTCAAGAAGGGTGTAGCTCAAGAAGGGTGTATGTCAGGAGGGGGGGTGGGTGATCCTGGGAGGTTAGCTTCAGACGGGTGTAGATCCAAAGGGGTGTAGGTCAAGAAGGGTGTAGGTCCAAAGGGGGGATGAGTAGGTCCAAAGGGGGGATGAGTAGGTCTAGAGAGCAGAACAGCAAGTCCAGAGGGAGGTAGACTACGAGACATAAAGGAGCACCAATCTAACATAACATCAGTATATATGTAAACTAGTCTCACCACATATGACCAAAACAATATAAAACAACTGAATAAAACTCCTCCTCGTCACATCTGTTCCTCCATAACCTACAGGGAACACTCTCCTCTCTCCCCTATTCCATCATTCTTCCCTCGCCTGGTATACTTTCCGCCTTCCTTCAGTTCCCCCTCATCTCTGTCGCACCCGTTTTCGCTCTCACTCTCCTCCTCCCCTACCACAGTCTGGCTCACCCACCTCCTCCTGTTCTGCCAAAAATTATCTTCTCTTTTTAAATACAACCTTTCCCTCTCCATCTCTTTATATATCTCTCCCATTCATTCCCGTCTCTCTTTCTCCTACCGTCTCTCTCCCTATTTCTGTCCATCACCACAACCACCACTACGACCATCACCACAACCTCCACTACGACCATCACCACAACCTCCACTACGACCATCACCACAACCACCACTACGACCATCACCACAACCTCCACTACGACCATCACCACAACCTCCACTACGACCATCACCACAACCACCACTACGACCATCACCACAACTACCACCCCCTGCCCCCCATCCATACCAGCCAACAATGCCCATTGTCCACTCTTAACTGATGGATTCTTTTTTAGTCGATGAAGCTATCTGGTGGTTGAGACAGGAATAGGGAGAGCGATGGTGGACGGTAAGCAGGTAGACGGGCTGTAAACAGGAGATAGGCACAACGACGGTAGACAGATAGATGGTAGAGAGAGAGGAGCTAGCAGAACGGACAGAGAGGAAATATAAAGAAGGAAATAATGAACACGTAAGCAACATTACTTCTCATAAAGCAGAGTCGACGATGGTAGTGTGGTGGTGACTACCTTACTGTGTCATGGTTACAATGTCTTTTAACGTACACTAGTGGTATGTTTGCCTTCTTACGACTTATCCCGCCCCTCTTCCATCTCTCCCTCTATCTCTTTCTCTCCTACCCCCCTCTCTCTCTCCCTTATATCTCCCCCTTATATCTCCCTTCTCCTTCTCTTCTTACTCTTCCTCCCTCTCTCTCTTCTCCCCCTCCTCTCCCTCCCTTCTCCCCACCGCTGTAGTGCAGAATACCTGAATATTGAAGCAGAGTTAAGAGAGATATTGAAGTTTAAATTGTCAATATGAAGACGAGATGAATAAAATCTTATATACAGTGAGGCAATACGAGACACTCTGAGGTTGGTCTCCGTCCTATAATGCACCTTGAGAACTTTATCATAATGTCTCCTCGCTTATAGCTTTTGATTCTTATATAACTTGATTTCTTTATATTATTGGTGTATAAGGAGATTATATATATATTTATTTATATAACTGTGAGGGTCGAGGGTGAGTGTAGGGTGGGGTGTAGTGAGGGGTCAGGAGGAAGGGTAGTGAGTGGTGAGTAGGGTGAGGAGGTAGGAGTAGGTGTGGTTAGGAGGGAGGAGTAGGTGTGGTTAGGAGGGAGGAGTAGTGTGGTTAGGAGGGAGGAGTAGTGTGGGTAGGAGGGAGGAGTAGGTGGGTTAGGAGGGAGAGGAGTAGTGTGGTTAGGAGGTAGGAGTAGGTGTGGTTAGGAGGGAGGAGTAGTGTGGTTAGGAGGGAGGAGGTGGTTAGGGGAGGGAGGAGTAGGTGGTGGTTAGAGGGGAGGAGTAGGGTTAGGAGGGAGGAGAGGTGGTGGAGGGGAGGAGTAGGGGTAGAGGTAGGAGTAGGTGTGGTTAGGGAGGGAGGAGGAGGTGTGGGTTAGGAGGGAGGAGTAGGTGGTTAGGGAGGCAGTGTGTGGGTAGGGAGGGAGGAGTAGGTGGTGGGAGGTAGGGAGTAGGTGGTTAGGGAGGGAGGAGTAGGTGTGTGGGAGGTTAGTGGAGGGAGGGAGTGGGTAGTGGTTGGGAGGTAGGAGTAGTGTGTTAGGTGGGAGGAGTAGGTGTGGTGAGGGGTGAGAGTGGTGGAGGAGGGTGAAAGCAATGTGTCAGCGGGGGGGAAGGCAGAGTCAGAAGGAGGAGGGGGAGGGCGTGGTTAGGGGTAGGAATAGAAGAGGGAACCAGACGGCATAAATCACCCCTCCTCCCATCACCCCTCCTCCTCCCCCATCTCCCCCTCCTCCCTCCTTCTTCCACCACGATAAGTTCCCAGCTAAATCGTCGCGGAATATTTTACTTGTGGGATTTATTTACATTTTTCCAAGCTAGTATTATAAATCCGTTTGCGTTGCGCTTACGAAAACTCTGGGACGGATTCATGGATTAATAATTGTTTTTGTCAAGGGCGTAAATAAACGTTCATATATATCCCTTATGAGTGAGATCTTGAGAGCCTACCGTCTAATGCTTCTTATAAATCTTACAAATTTAGTCTGAAAATAAATGGAATGGGTCGAGAGCTCTTGAAAAATTAGGCTTCCACTACATTAGACAAACCCCTCCATTCCCTCAACCGCCCCTCCCCCCTTCCCTCCCCTCCACCTCCTCAGCCGTTTCACCAAACAACCTGATTCTTGAAATGTATGACCCAGGAACACACTCCCATTTACTCAATGAGTCCCGGGGCGTGTACTGGGATTCCTTCAATGAAAATGAAATCTCCATTAGTGACATGCCCGGCAGCCTTGGAAGGCGGGAAATAGCGCCAAGGCAACGCTCACGGGTGAAGACTCGAGTTGCCATCGGTAGGGGCCTCCTCAACTTTTATCAAAATTATTTCCAGGTTTTATTAGTTACAAACAAACTTACTGACGACGGGATAATGGTTATAGATTTATGCATATATAAGAGGAAAGATTGTTTAGGGGTTTTAAAGGAATATAAACAAGAAACAAATGGAAAAATGCGTCTTGGTAGATCAAGAGAGAGGAAGGTGCTCCCGGGTTTTTCTTCACGGAGAGTTAATGAAGAAGGCGGGAAGACGTCAACCAAGGAATCATCCGTCTAAACACTCGCTCGACGATTGCCTCCACTTTCTTTATTTTTCCCTCTTCTCTTCTCCTCTTTTCATTGTGGTTTATTTATCGATTTACTTTTTGTTTTTAGAGACGTTTTATATATTGTCTTATAAGTCACTATAGGAGAGTTAAATTTGGAGTAAATTTTGTTATAACAGGGGTCAGGCACCGATAGTATAAAGGTATGTGATATTATTATTATTATTATTATTACCGTCTCTCTCTCTCTCTCTCTCTCTCTCTCTCTCTCTCTATCTTCCTCTCTCTCCATCTTCCTCTCTCTCCATCTTCCTCCCTCTCACACCCACTCATCTTTCCCCCTCTCGCCCTCCCCTCGTTTAGTTAGTAATTATGCATGGTGTAACTACAACGGCGGAGGGACACCAGCCTTGATGAGTGGGCCAGTGAGAGGGGAGAGAGGGAGAGGAGAAGAGGAATGAGACGTAGGGAACCAGAGTGGGAGGAAGGTGATGGAGAAGGATGAATGGGGAATGAAGAGGAGGGCAGGTGATGCAGGGAAGGAGTGGGAAAAGGGTGAGGAAGGGAAGGAAAAGGAGGGAGGAAGGGGAAGAGAGAGGGGTAAGGAAGGAGGTAGATAAGAAAAAGAAGGAATGGGAGGGGAGAGGGATGAAACAGAAGAGAGTGTAAGAAGAAAGATAAAAGGGAAGAGGATGGTTGGGAAGAACGAAGAGAGAGAGAGAGAGAGAGAGAGAGAGAGAGGAACAATTACTGAATTATCGGAAATACTATAAAGTAACCGTTTAGACCAGATGGCTTCAACGACGGCCAGATCAAGCACACACACACACACACACAGACACACACACACACACAGACACACACACACACGAAATGCAATTAACCTACACACACACAAGAATAAAACCACTCTTCATGTACGGCTGTCGATAAGTTCATTGATAACGTTAAGTAAGTCACCATTAAATTCTCACGCGTGGTCTAGACGAGTCACAAGACGATATCATGGAGCAGCGGGAGAGGTAAACCTTCGAGTTGGCAACACTGTCTCCCTCCTGTGTTGTTGACTTATTATTTGGTTATTGTTATGAATTTGATATTATTATTGTTGTTTTGTTGTAATTATTATTGTTGTTATTGTTATTATTGTGGTTATTGTTGTTATTATTATTGTTGTTATTGTTATTATTGCTATTATTATTATTATTATTATTATTGTTATTATTATTATTATTATTATTATTATTGTTATTATTATTATTATTATTATTATTATTATTATTATTATTATTATTGGTAATATTTTTATTGTTATCGTTGTTATCATTGGTAGTTATATTATAATTATAATCATTAATATAATTTTATCAACATTATGGAAGAGCTTTATATTAATATTATTATAATTATTAATTTATGATATTGTTATTTTTGTATTGTTATAATTGATAATGTCCAAACTTAGCTTCCCCTAATTTAACCTAACCACACATAACTTACCTAAATTAAACTAACCTAATCCTTGGTACTCATATGAAAGTTCGTCTCAAGAGGTTCCGGGTTCGGATTAAGGTTTGTGTCGGGTTCGACTCCGTGGATTCGTTTGGTCTGTGTTTATCTTCGTCTTCCTCCTCCTCCTCCTCAATGAAGTTTTCAATTTTATATAGAAGCCTTAATTATATATTGAATTCAGTGTAGATGAGTAAATCAACAGATATTTAGTGCTAGGTGCAGCTAACAGACAGACAGACACGTATACTGCCAAGGTCTGAGCTGTTACCTGTAGCTCAACTCATTAACAGTCTTCGAAGGTAATTATTAAGAATTGCAACACCTGTTTAATCAATTTACTTGTCAAATAATTTATTTTACTAAATGAAAAGTATAAATTAATTTCCTTATTTTCTTTAATAGTTTTTTCAGCAGCTTGAGTTAAAATTACTGAGAAATTGGATTAAAAAATAAACTCACTCGTTATTCAGACAATTGTTTTGTTAAATAATGTCGCCGTAGTTCTTAACAATTACCTAAATTACCATTGTTCTGGTCGTCTTTGTTTAGTGTGTCAAGGTGCGGTCTCCTCCACCACCCGAGGCGACAACACACAATGTTTATATGTAGTTGGCTTCGCTTTTTATGTACTGATGTATATTATAGCTTAGTGTTTAGTTCAAAAATTTATGTAACTTTTTATATGTAGATGGATCACTGGTCCAGACATTCATAAAGGCAGACGGTGCGGATGTGTAAAAAAAAAATTGGAAGAAAAAGATTAAACTCTCCGGACACATCCTGCCGCGTTTCATTATCTCGCTGTTTGCCTTCACCACCTCCCGCCCTGCATGAGTGTTCCCCGTCTGGCTTCTTCAACAATATTAAACCCTATGCTCGTCCCCCCGGTTGTATATCAGCCATACACTCAATAATGCCTGGCTATCTGTCGTCTACAAACCCTGAGATCAGTCTCGAATGTATTTATGTGTTGGAATATTATGTAAGGTGAAGCTGGTCTTGTTGCTGGAGCTTCTCGCGGGGTGTAGGCAAAGATACGTTGACTTATATATGGTATATTCTTGTTGTTATTATGTATCGCCTTTAATAGTTATGATAGATGGTTAGTGACTGTTGTATAGTAGTAACTGTCTCAGTATCTAACACATCTCTGTATTTTTCAGGCGGAAGGACAAGCTGGATCTGGTTCCCTCTGGCGACGACGAGTCTTCAGGAGATGGTCAGCAGCTGCCCAAGTTGGTGGAGGTTATCAATGACACTCTGGTGGAGTTATTGGACGGCTCACCCGACCAACACGACCTCCCCCGACTGTTCGACAATACTACCTTCTGCGTCGGGAACAACTCTGGTCCTTCATGTAACACAACAGAGTTTTCCATCTACGACAGTCCACCGCCGTTCAGCCTTCCGTCTACCATCTTCATCGGTGTGTGTCTCACCATCTGCATCATCATTACCGTCCTGGGCAACATCCTGGTGCTTGTGGCATTCTTCTGTGAGCGAGCCATCAGGCAGCCGTCAAACTACTTCCTGGCGTCACTGGCCGTCACTGACATCCTCATAGGAAGTGTATCTATGCCCTTCTACACTGTGTACGTCCTCGTTGGCTACTGGGATCTGGGACCAATTCTTTGCGACCTGTGGCTCTCCGTGGACTACACCGTGTGCCTCGTCTCCCAGTTCACGGTTCTCCTCATCACCATTGACAGGTTCTGCTCCGTAAAGATCGCGGCTAGGTACAGGGCGTGGCGCACCAAGAACCGTGTGATAATCATGGTGCTCGTCACCTGGGTCATCCCGGCGTTGCTCTTCTTCGTCAGCATCTTCGGGTGGGAACACTTCATTGGGTACCGTGACCTGGGGCCTGGTGAGTGTACGGTACAATTCCTCAAGGATCCGATCTTCAACACGTCTCTCATCGTCGCCTACTATTGGATCCCACTGATCGCGCTCTTTGTCTTATATGCCGGCATTTATCAGACCGCGTATGAGATGTCTAAAAAGGCGCGAGAGAAGAGGAAACAAGCTCAGGCCTTGATGAATCTGAAACCCTCGGCGCCTACTGCCAGCAACAGACCAAGTCCAGCGCCGGTGACGAAGGCGGCACACCCGACCAACAAGACGAGTGCCGGAGGCAAGAGTAGCGGCAGTGACAACGGTGATCACGGTGGTGAGGAAAAAGGCGGAGGAACGATGACCATGTCCAAGACCCAGAGTACACTCATCAGCCAAGACAAACCCAAGACAGAGACGGAAGTCGCCTCCGCTCCTCACACTACTGCCAACGACTCCACATCCTCACACAAGATATCCTCTAAGACAACCACCACCGAGACGATGAGCTTCATGGAGAAAACTGTACTGGAGAAAGAACTTGAAAAGTCGAGCAGTGGAATAGAGAGTGAAGACGAGAAGCGTGACAGCAACACCAGTCTGCCCAAGATAGAGCCGCTGGCGCCACCACTGAGGGCATCGCCGACCACTGAGTCTCTGGCCAAGATCCCTGAGCAGTGTTTACTGGACTCTGAAAATTCTGAGCCTCGTCTAACTGAGCCTTCCATACACCCCGTACCGGCAGACTCTGTGGCGGCTCTCTTAGGCATCAGTCAAGTAAACAATGGTGGTATCCATAATGGACTGACCAACCTGACAATATCATCCTTAGGGGACATCCCCATTGTACCTCCTCCACCCCCTGTGTCTAGTCAACTTGGTGTGCACCCTTTAGCTGCCTCCACTCCCATCACTCCCTCCATCACAGCCACTAATGAACCCATCGAGCCTCCAGCTATGTTCGCTGACCTCCCAGTACCCCAGAGACCGACCAGCCTGGAGCTGAGACTCAGTCCGCTCACACTTCCCGCCTACGACTCCGTCATGTCGATGGACACGAGTGACATGAGGTTCATGGACGAGAGTTCGGTGGTCGTGCCCTCACCTGTGGTTGAGACACCTCCTTCCTCCAGCTGGACACAACAGGACGCCACCATCTCTCCCGAAGACTTAGCGCGGCGTCTAGAGGCACCAATGAGTCTACCGTCACCCTCGAACACGGTCACACCTACACCAATGCCTTCCATGAACGGTAACGGATCCCTTCACAACGGCACAGACTCCATGAGGTCGACACCGAAGCCCCAAACATCACCATCCAAGAAAACACTGATCCCAGACCCCAGTCCCCCCGCTGCCCCTCACCCGACACCCGTCAAGGTGCCCTTACCTCCGTCATCACCCATAGTGAAGAAACAGCCTCCCCCACCTCCACCCAGGGATCCATCTATAACAACAACTATAACCTTAGCTCCTCCTGTAGTGTCTATAACCCCCAGCAGCCAACCAAACAGCACCAAGAAGTCAGGAGCCCCAACCAACGGAGGACCACCAAGTGCCTCTCTCACCGTCACCAGCAGAGGCCGCGACAGTAGCATCGAGCCCGACAGTTGTGCTGAAGCGTCTCACGTAGATGAAAAGGTCAAGCCCAAGAAGGACGTGTTCAAGAGCTTTGGTAAGAAGATCCGCTTTAAGAAGAAGAAGAAAGACCCGGAGGAGAAGAAGTCCAAGTCCCACAACCGAGCTAACAAGGCCCTCAAGACCATCTCGGTGATCATGGGCGCCTTCGTGGCCTGCTGGACGCCTTACCACATCATCGCTATCATGGAATCATTTTGCCTCTGCACGAATGGTCACGTTTACATGTTTTTCTACTTCCTCTGTTACGCCAACAGCCCCATCAACCCCTTCTGCTACGCCCTCGCCAACCAGCAGTTCAAGAAGACCTTTATGAGACTCCTCAGAGGGGACTTCCACGTCACTTAATGTTGTGTCTTTAGTGTAGTCTTGGCCTTTGTCTTATATTAATGTAAAGGTGTAGCTTAGTGGCGTTTCTTACTGTACTGATGCAAGCTGGTTATGAAGTGGGACCTAAGCATTGTAAAAAAAAAAAAAAAGCCGAGATGAGCGTAAGTTAAAGCATGCAGATAGAGCGGCCCGGGGCAGCTTACTCACCTTCCTCAGCTTACAAGAAGGTCGGTCGGTCTAGATGGTGGTGGTGGTGGTGGTGGTGGTGGTAATGGCGATGGTGGTGGTCGTGGTAATGGCGATGATAGGAGTGATGGTGGTAGTGGTAATGGTGATGATAGGAGTGATGGTGGTAGTGGTAATGATTATAAGTGGTGGTGGTGGTGATGATGATAAGTGGTGATGATGGTGGTGATGAAGATGGTGAGTAAGCTGCGCCCCGCGGTTTTAGGAGAATAATGAATGAACATGTAAAAGTGTGAATAACTACTGAAAATAATGTATATTTTTAGGAGCAGATCCTCAACAGTTTACATGGAGAATTATTTAGTGTGAATGAAGGTGATAAGAAGGCACTTTACTGTTTGACTTAAAGTTAAAACAACAAATAAATAATGGGAGACTAACACTCAGACTCATCCTTGACAATAGGCTCAACACCTTAACTTACCTGGTGTTAATTAGTCGTTTCTCGTTAAGTAAGACTCTATACAATCTTAATGTTCACCTTTGACGTTATTATTATTTTTGTTTAACTTCAAGTCAAATAATTAAGGTATTTCTTATATCTTTATTTACGAGAAATATTCAACGTAAGATTCTTGTTGAGAGTTTCGATCCTGTTGAGGTTTTTTACTTAAGTTTGATTCAGAATGTACAAATAAGAATTGGTTTAGGACGACAATAATCCTGTGTACTAAACTCTGCACACATTATGAGGTTTATGTTTAGCTCGTGGGTTTTATTTATAAGTTTAAAACATCAGTAATTAGAAATTGGTTTATGTTGATAGATACTTTTCATATTTAACTACATAAACACTGTGCAGCTATACGCAAATTATCAGTATTCCAGTATATATTATGTATACTACCTGTTGCAGTATATAATATGCATACCTGTTGCAGTAATTATGTATACTACTGGTTGAAGTTTATTTTGTTAGCGAGTTATTTTCTTTTATTTAATACCATTATGTGCTAATTATATTCAATATAATTATGCAATTAAATTGATAATTACATCTGAAGAAGAGCAATAGTTTGGGGCAATAATTAATTGTAATATTAACATCACGTCAGCAAATAAACAAATGATCTAGACTCGTAATGGTGGCAACATCGTGAGCATAACCATTAACTATTAACGTGTTAGTTCTGGGGACCTATTAGAATTGAGACCTATTAAAACTGGGGACCTATTAGAATTGGAGACCTATTAGAGTCGGGTACCTATTAGAACTCGAGACCTATTAGAATTGGGGAACTATTAGGACAAAAACCCATTGATAAGTCGTCGTCATTCACAATACCCCGGAGGCCAGAGAGTAGAAGTGTTCAGTCAATAGTCTTAAGAAAATGCTCCTACGTTTTGTCCCTTTACCTCCACCTCCCCCTTCCCCCTACCTCACTCTTCCCCTCCACCTCCCCTGTACCTTCCCCTTCCTCTCCCTCCACCCCGTTCCTTCTCTCCCTCCACCTCCCCTTCCCCTACCTCCCCCTTCCCCCTACCTCACTCTTCCCTCCACCTCCCCTGTACCTTCCCTTCCCTCTCCCTCCACCCCTTCCCTCTCCCTCCACCCCTTGCCACTCTCCCCTCCACCCCTTGCCACCTCTCCCCTCCACCCCTTGCCACCTCTCCCCTCCACCTCCCTCCCTCCTCTGCATTCACTAACGAGACAAGATCTAAAATAAAAAGGTATAGAAATATATACACACAGATTTTGTTGACAATAATAAACAAATTCCCCCACAATAACAAAACATTACACTAACAGTAGCCAGTGATCTCTTCAGCTAGACTCTACCGTGAGATCACCTGCCCATTGTGTACACTCGTTAACTGTGAACTGAGCTTATCTCACATGACCTCACAACCACTGGGGTCACAGGTCACGGGTCAGAGTGTATCAATGGGCTTATGTTCTCTAGAGTCTCACCATTATCTTCACTACTCACGGCTGAAGTCATCATGATTGTGTTGTTTAGGAGTATTGTCGTGTTCCTCAGTGTCAGGTTGATTTACCAAGTTGTTACCTGTGTGGACTATGATGACCTGAGCTCCCACAAGGATCATCTCTGTTTTGTGTGTTAATAAACTAACTCTTATTACTAATTTAACTTAATCTAATCTAAATTTAACCTGACCTAACTTATCCTTAAATTAACTTCAGTAAATCACTAACCTAACTTAACTTAAGTAAATAATCACTAATCTAACCTCGCCTCACCAAACCAAGCGTAAGAAATTGGTATGGAAATTCGGGATTGGTTCCTCATTATTAGGATTTATTTTGCTCGTATTTCAGCTGATAGTTAACTACAACAGTCTGCCCTGAAACGTTTTCTGTAATCCATAACTTTAAAGTTGAAGTGTCAAATTGTTTCATCTGTTATCGACTTCAACAACCATGATAGATACTCTGTTGACTAATGAGTCAAATCAGTTCCTGAAATACGGTACTTATGGTGTTTTGGGAACCTGTGTGTGTAGGAGCATGTAAAGCAGATATATATTGTGTGTCTGTGAGCAAAAAAATTCTCTGTCAGGTCAACTTCAACGAGTAAAAATATTTAGGTGTGTTGCAGAAGTGTGTGTAGGTCTCCCCAACACAACTAAATGTTTTTTTTAATGTTTGTGACTAATATATGGATACATAACTACACACAGGTTCACTATAAACACCTTCTTTACACACGGGTTCACTATAAACACCTTCTTTACACACGGGTTCACTATAAACACCTTCTTTACACACAGGTTCACTATAAACACCTTCTTTACACACAGGTTCACTATAAACACCTTCTTTACACACAGGTTCACTATAAACACCTTCTTTACACACAGGTTCACTATAAACACCTTCTTTACACACGGGTTCACTATAAACACCTTCTTTACACACGGGTTCTTAACAGAGCAACGAACCATTTTTTAACCCTTGATCAAGCATATCTGAGGGTTGGTGACCACAATCCTCCACTCTAAATATTCTCGGGCTGTTTTTTTGTTACCAGTCCTCTAATGCTTTGTATCTCTCTGGGACTCCATTGTTTATTCTTTAATTCATCCCCTGGCCCTCCTTCCCTCAATGACCAAGATTAACATTACTATATCATAACGTTCACCGCTTCCTTACACACGTTTACTGAATTAGACAGAGAGAGATAGAGTAGAGGTCAGACCTTTGCTGCGTTATCTCACGAGGCCTCCGGGGTAATAATTCTTACTTAGCAACAACTAGTCACCTTTAAAACATAATATATACAACGTGATGCAGGGTATATTAGTTAATTAATTAATATAACACCAACATATATATGTATATAAGCCCTATGTTGTAGTGTGTGTGTGTGTGTGTGTGTGTGTGTGTGTGTGTGTGTGCTGGAGGTGACCATGACTCGGTCAGTAATGCTGGAGTCAGGGTGAGTCACAGATGGTAATGGTCATGAGTCAGTAACAGTAATGACTCGGAACAACAGGTCACTCACCACCCACCTCAGCACACACGTATAAATCAATTAATGTCCATGTGTATATAACGTATGTATGTATGTTCTTACGCACATATGGAATCAAAACAGACATACTCAGACCTCAGAAAAGATCAAATGGACGGGTGACTCTTTATAGCAACCTCACACATTAAGAGTTAAATATTAGAGAATGTTTTATAAATAGTGAACTCTTTGAAGAATTTAGATAGTGTGTATATACATTAACCTTAGCTAACTCTTTGTACAGTAGATATGAGAGTTGAGCCTTTCCCTTCGTATCTGTGTTTGTCTGTTAATTAAGTGAGATGAATTATAATTGAAGCTTAAATTTTTCATCTTAAACAGAGACATTTTTTTTATTCCGATGTAAAAAAAACAAAAAAATATATAACCCCAATTATGTGTTTGTTTGTTGTTTGTTTACCTTTGTTTATGTTGTTGGCTATGATGGTCTTAAGGGCATTAATAGTTAGTGAAGGTATGTGTGTCTTAAACGAGGTTACGATAATTGTTAATGGGGGCCCCTGACAATTAATGGGGTCTCCTTGTGTTATAAACAATCCCTTACCTTTTATGGCAATAGAACCCTCAGGTGTGTTAATGGAATTTATTTTAATAGAGCCCTCGTGTGTGTGTTAATGAAACCCTTCAGTTAATGGGCCCTAGAGTTATTGAACCTCTTATCTTAAATGGAACCCTAAATTAATGAATCACCTGTGTTAACGGGAACCTGAGTTAATGGAACCTTGTATTAATGGAACGTTGATCTAATGGATGCCTTGTTTGATAGACTCCTGTGTTATTGGAACCCTAATTTAATAGCCGGTACGCATCAGTGGATCCTCTGTGTTAATGGAACCTTAAGTTAATGAACCCATCAGTTAATGGATCCCGAGAGGTAATGGATCCCTTAACTGGGCTAATGTTCCCTTAATTAATGGGTAGCTGATGTTTAGAGACCTCGATAAGACACACTTTCCCTCCATAAGGCAAACTCTCTTCCCATTCCCCATTAACAATTGACTCTATCCATTTATCCCCATTACCACCATCAGTAATTAGTGACGTACTCTAAAGACCTTTCTCTCAATGGCTGATTATATTAATGGTGGTTAGACAAAGAATTGGTTCCATTGTTAGGTATATCCATCCATCCATCCACTCACTTACTTTCCAACCCATTCACCCAACCGTCCATCCATCCATCAACCCACTCACCCAACCATCCATCCATCAACCCACTCACCCAACCATCCATGCATCCGTCAACCCATTCACCCAACCATCCATCCATCCATCAACCCACTCACCTAACCATTGTTACGCCGTCTCTTAATTTACTTATATATCCAGGTTCTAGGCGTAACCAAACAAAAAGTGAAGAAAATTAAAAGAATAAAAATAAATAAAGTAAACCTTTAAGAATTTAATTAATAAAATATTAACACAATAAAGAGCCTCGTAGGCTGTCACAACAAATTGATTCACCATCGAAACTTTTAAGACAAGTGATACTAAA